GATGGGAGGATAATCTCAGGCGGGATCTGTGAGAGACAGGAGTTGAAGGAGACTGGATTTTGTTGGCCCAGGTCAGGGCTTTGGTTAATTCGGTGATGAACCTTCGGGTTCCCTAAGGCATCTAGTTAGTTAGTTAGTTAGTTAGTTTACAGCCATGAACAATCAATAGACTGGCGTTGCAATGAACCATCACTTGATTGACTTCCCAAAGACAATATTATAATGAATTAATCACAGACGTAATCCAATAGATGACGAGTTTCTTTGTTTATTGAACAGTGATTTATGCATTTCATAGAAAGTTTGTGTTTAAAATTTCCCTCACCGGTTAGGATCCTGAACTCGATCGTCGTTTGTTTGCAGAAACTTCCGATCCAGTGGCCTCGCCTCTTCGTAACTTGTTGGTCGCCTGTGAAACAAAGCAACTTTTTAAATGTATGAAGGCGAATTCCCTTTCTATTACGCAAGGAATACGGAACTATTTTCTTGTCGTCTCAAGTTTAAGGTTAGGTTATGTAGAATGTTAGATCGTGGTTGGTTTCACATAAAACCGATGTCCGTCTGTTATTCTGAAAAGACTACATTTCCAAAACTCGATATCTTTCCACTCTCAGGTTTATCAGGTTTCCAACCTGAAGATGGAAACAGATCTACCTTCCGAAACAGGTTTTTTAAAAAAAAATTAAGATTACCAGACGATGGACGAAGATAATAAATCTGACAATAATAATAATAATAACAGCGCAGAACATTTTCGAGTTGAACTGGTAAGGATTTGGAAGGAGAGCTATCATAGTTCACTTGAATGACCTACCCAAAAATTCTGAACAAGGAACAGGAGACCCGGAAGTCTATTACACGGAAAAGGGGTTTGGAACACCACTGCTACGCCAACTCCTTCGATCCAATTCATCGATGGGAGGATAATATTAAAATGAAGCTTGGGAAAATACGATGGCGAACATGTGAGCTAGTTGAAGATACGAGCTGTCTTCGTCGATGACATTTCAATAGTCCACGACCTAATTTTTCCACGGACTTCCTGGTTCATCTATACAGATCGTCCTGCTATAGATATTTCATAACCTTGGCAGTTGAAATGACGTCGTTACACGTACAAGTAACTTACGGTCTCTCATTTATGTCACAATTATATTTTTCTGGCAGCGTTAGACGATTACAGAGTACGGAACTTCTAATGACTGTCTGATTTATTTTACCCAAATTAGGTTTTATCATCGAAAACAGATCAACTTTCGTGTTCGAAAGACGTCTTCAGAAAAAAAAAATCCCCCCACCGAAAATGGAGGCAGTAGTTTCCTCGGAAACATCAGTGACCACCCACAACGCCCTAGGACCCGCCCTTCCTCTCATAGCGACTCCTTACCGACGCATATCAGCCGCTGACGGATGCGTCCTCTGCTGAGAGCGGTCTGAGCTTATCCGTGGGATGACCGCGGCCCTCGTCCTGGCGTCGGGTTCCCTTACGTTCTCGTAGTTCGTCTTCTTCTCGCTTGGCGTCGGCTCCAGGCACTCCAGGTACAGTGGCTCTGGAGAAGGAGAACGCAGACTGCTGCTGACTCTAGGGATCGCGGTGCTGGAAACCAGAGAGTCCCTGACGGACGCCTGCGGAGGATGCAGGAACGCCCGGGAAATCATCTTCGGGTTGTCGGGGGTGTAAGAGAAAGGCCTGTTGTTGTTGTTGTTGTTGGCGTAGTCGTACTCGCTCTGGGTTCTCAATCCTGCGGCTGCAGTAGCCGCGATGCCTCCTCCTGCTTCGACAGGCTTCTTGTCAATGTCGACAGGTAAGGTTAGGTTCTCTTTGTGGTACGGATATGTCGGAAGTCTTGAATTCTGCAGAGCACGACAGAGAAATTGATATCACGTGACGAAAATCTACGTCTGGATAATATTAAAGTAGTTCACTGCAGCCAGTCTTCCTTCGAGAAGCTGACGATCGCTCACCTAGTCAACGAAATTTACCCAGTCTTCTGCGAGACCCCAAAGGTCCTCTGCTGTGTCCACAAGACCCTGAGTCTCAAGGACCTGCGTAACGTGTTTCTTTCAAGAAAACTTCTCGACAGATTCCAGACGATAATGGAGACTACTTCACATTTCAGAACGTTGAAAAAAAAGGAGGTGGACTTTAACCACCCTGAAGATGGAGGACGTACGTTCCTCCGAAACATTAATAATCGCCGATGAGACCGTGGCTTCACAACCCAAATAATCACGATCAACAATTAAAACATTTTATGTCGAAACATATTTTTTACGTAAAATAGACGTAATATTTCAGTTTAACTTCGAAAAATTTTAATTGTAACTCCTACTTCATACGACGCCCAGTTCATTTTTATAAAAAAAGAGATCAGCTATTATTATTATTTGGGACATTTTAAACATTTCGTATCTTTAATGAAATATAAGGACAATTTTAAATTGCTTCTGAACTGATTCAACCAGCATTAATCCGCTTCTTAAACATCCAATTTTAATTTTGGTTTGTTTCGATGTTCTGAAACTTTCTGCTGAAAAAATCCACCGATAATTACCTCGTGTTTCTTGTCCTTGGAGAGCCGCTGAGTCGCCACGGCAACGCAGATTACCAGGAGGACATTCAGAAGCCAGAAGACCAAAATGCGACTGGAAAGGAGAGCCATCACGAGAGACGGAATCATGGTCAGACCGTCTAAACCCCCGAGCAACTTCGAGACTTCGTCTCCTTCTGGAATATTCTCTACCCCTATCAGTTCCAGCAACCCCAACAAACTCTGAAAATAAAAACGCAGGTTTCCAAGGGGCTGTGCCTTTGTCTCTGGTTTTCCGACCTTGTGGTAGTGGAAGGCGTCGAACCCGGTCCCTCGGCAAGGACGCTGAGCCGGAGATCAATTTTAATATTATGATCTCATTCATTTCTCGATCTTTCAAGTGCCACTTTCTAACAGGTATGTCGTTAAAAGTTTTGGAAGCATTTCTTGTTTCTTACAAAGGTTGCCGTATTAATATTAGGGGAACACTAAAAATTAAAGATAAATTTTGTCGGTGGTTAATTTCATAATTTTTAATGTCATCGCGATGATCCTATCAAGAAATGCGAGGCGTAGATGAGAAATACAGAATTTTCAGTCGAAGAATCTGAAGTTATGGGTTCATTTGGAAGTGCAAGGATAATATTAAAATTGATGTTAAACTACGTGAACATGTGGATTGGATTCGTGTGGCGCTAGATAGTGGTCATGGAGTTTGGAATAATTTATTTTGTCTATATCAGAGGAAATGCTGAACCAGGTGGTCCCGACAGCCACTCAAAGATGGCCGATTGAGTCCTAGGATATTTTTAAGCAATTCGAAATGGACTCACTTGCGAGTCGGTGGCTTGGCCGGCGAAGTTGATGGTAGCGACAACATCCAGGATGATGTTGCCGACAGCGGCTAGGATCCACGGAACATAGGCCACCCAGGTGCGGATTCTGAGTGCGCCAGCCACTGGAATAAGATCCAAACACTCCCTGAAGCGATTAAAGTGGATCGTGGGGTTTTGTAAAAACTGCAAAGGCTAACAAGAACACGGCGTGACTGAACATCCAGGGTTCTGTCCTCAGAATATATTTTCTCCACGAATGTGGTCCGCCATCTTCGATATATCGAGAACCACGAACTATTTTGGCTTTTGTAAATCGACTAGATTCTCAAGTTTTTATCAAACGCCTCTGTTTAGAGGCAGTCTATTTGTAACGTCGAATGGTTGGATGATTTAAGATGCATTTGAGATGAAAGAGTGCGTCAGAAGCCTTCATTTTATGTACGAGGCGCGTCCCAAAAGTAAGTTTCCCACTCGTCCCACAGCTAGCAAACCTTATATTGCGCGAAGCGACTGTGCGTACGTGATAGAGCAATGACGTAGCATGGCGCATGCACTAACGGTACTTCCCGCGTTCTCACAGTAGCATCATTGCAGCTGTTGAAGATGGAGGTTCTTATTCCAGCTCCCGCCGACTGTGAAGTGCGGTCAGTGATAAAGTTTTTGAATGCACAGAGCATAGCGCCGATCGAAATTCATCGTCAGCTGTGCCGGGTCTATGG